TGCCCCCGCTTCCCTGCCCCCGCTTCCCTGCCCCCGCTTCCCTGCCCCCGCTTCCTTGTCCCCCATTCTTGACTCCACGTCCTTGCCCGCACCTCCTTGTCCACACCTCCTTGCCCTACTACTGAGCGAACTAGTCGATGGCGCAGCCAACATCGCCCGCACAAGTCACGCGCCCACCGCGGGGGAGTGGAGACCACCCATGCCAGACGAAGAGGCCAAAAGCCGCGTCCGGCGCCTCCGCGAGATGCAAGAGCTCAACCTTCTGACAGCAGAGCATTAGGCGACAACCTCGCTGGCCCTAGTGAGAGTGGGCTCATCCTCGGGAGCTTCCTCCAGTGGACACGCGCCGAGGCGCGCAAACTCTGGACAGAGTTCAGCCGCAACGGGGACGACCGGTTGACCCAGGTACTCGCTGCTTCTATCTTGGGCGTGACGAGGTTCAAACAAGCGACTGGCGACGGACTCCGCCACGTGCGCTGCTGTCGATGCTTCGCTGAGCATGACACTATGGAGCATATGTTGGAATGTCATGCAGTGGAAAACGTCCAGCGCTTGCGCACTCCGCAGCCTTCTGCAGGCTTGTGCCGTTACATTGCTCTAGAACTAGAACACGACCACCCCGATGCCCACGCGCAAGACCTTGGCAACGTTGGGCTTGGGCCCTTCATCCAGCGCTCTGCCTACCTCCGCACTGGGCGCACGTTGAACGACCCGCCCGCGGCCTCCTCCACGGGATGCACTCCACCCGGTGAGGCAGGTGAAAACATCAGTCGCACTCCGCTGATGACCGGAGCGCAGGCGGTTCCGTGTAGTGGCGCTCCGGCTTGGAGAAGAACTAAACTGCCCCGCGGGCTAGTTCTCTCCTCCGAGTCTCTCGGCGAGACCTTCGACTCAGCGGACGACGCTGCAACGAGTGGGCCCCTGACTGTAGTACTTGGTCGCTACGGAATTTGCTTCGTGGACGCGCCTCTGAAGATCGTGGGCATGGTAGAAGCTTATGCCTCGTCCTTGTCGAGGTGCTCCCTGGCTCCGCCATGAGTATGCAGACAGCCTCAGGGAGCGCCTGCGCGCTCATGGGGGTTTAACAGTATCACCCTGCTGGTCGGCTTGGCGCCGGGGGTGGCAGGCGCTGGCTAGTCTGCAAGCCACGGGAACCCCAGGAAGGTCAGCAAGTTTAGGCTGATCAAGACTGTCTGGTGAACCCCTTTAATAATAATAGCAACGTTCTGGCGAACCCATTTAATAATAATAACAATAATAACAATAATGATAATAATAATAATAATTAAAAGAGTTCTAATGGTCAAAAGATTTCGGAGAGGTTTTTCGAGGGATTGTCGGGGGGAGAAGGGGGGGTCCTAGGGGGGGGGTTCGGGGGGTAGGGTCGAGAAAGGGACCCTCGGGGCTTTACGGGATTTCTAGTCGTGCTTAATTGAGGGAAGACCAGAAATCCCGTGAAGTTGGGAGCTTTGTTGGGAGCTTTTGACGGGATTCCTAGTCGTGCTTAATTGAGGGAAGACCAGAAATCCCGTGAAGTTGGGAGCTTTGTTGGGAGCTTTTGACGTGGCGGACGATGGGCAGCAGCGTCCCCCTTGTAGGTGAGTGCCAGTCTTAACCTCCAGAGGGACGCGGAAAATGTCCACAAGACGGCGAGGGGGAAAAGTTCCTTCGGCAGAAGTTCACAGAGCTTGGCAGAAAATGCGGCAGAAAGTCCAAGAGGAAGGGGCGGCAGAAGTGTTCTGGGTGGCAGAAAATGCGGCAGAAAGTCCAAGAGGGGGGCAGAGAATGTTCCCGATTTTCAGAAAATGCGGCAGAAAGTCCAAGAGGGGGGCGGAAAGTGTTCCCGGGTGGCAGAAAGTCACGGAGGGGGGTGGAAAATGTTCCCGGGTAGGCAGAAAATGCGGCAGAAAGTCACAGAGGGGGGCGGAATATGTTCCCAGTTGACAGAAAATGCGGCAGAAAGTCAACCAGGGGGGCGGAGAATGTTCTGGAGGCGGCAAAAACCTGGCAGCAAATCAACGAAGGGAGCAAACCGGGCAGAGAACCAACCTAGGGGGCGGCAAAATGTTCCCCAGGCGGCAAACCTGGCAGAAATTTATCAAAGGGGCGCGGAAAATGTTCCCGAGGAGGTGGCAAACCTGGCAGAAAATCAACCCGGGGGGCGGAATATGTTCCCCAGGCAGCAAACCTGGCAGAAAATCAACAAAGGGCGGCGGCAAAATGTTCCCGAGGCGGCAAAACCTGGCAGAAAATCACTCAGGGGGGTAGAAGGTGTTCCTGAGGCAGCAAACCTGGCAGAAAATCAACAAAAGGGCGGCGGAAAAATGTTCCCCAGGCGGCAAACCTGGAAGAAAGTCGACCAAGGGGGGGGAAAATGTTCCCCAGGCAGCAAGCCTGGCAGAAAGTCAACCAGGGGGGCGCAAAATGTTCCCGAGGCAGCAGCCTGGCAGAAAATCAACCAAGGGGGGCGGAAAGTGTTCCCGAGGCGGCAAACCTGGCAGAAAATCAACCAAGGGGGGTGGAAACTTTCCCCCGGGCAGAAATTGAAGCAGAAAAGGGACGGGGGTGGAAACTTTCCCCCCCAGGCAGAAATTAAAGCAGAAAAGGGACGGGGGTGGAAACTTTCCCCCGGGCAGAAATTAAAGCAGAAAAGGGACGGGGGTGGAAACTTTCCCCCCCGGGCAGAAATTGAAGCAGAAAAAGGGACGGGGGTGGAAACTTTCCCCCAGGCAGAAACTAAAGCAGAAAAAGGGACGGGGGCGGAAACTTTCTCCCGGGCAGAAATTGAAGCAGAAAAGGGACGGGGGTGGAAACTTTCCCCCCCGGGCAGAAATTAAAGCAGAAAAGGGACGGGGGTGGAAACTTTCCCCC